CGATTTCTCCTTCTACGTACGTACAGACTTGGTAAGAATAATAAGGATACATTCACACAGGACGCGTTCACTAAACACTATTTCTTTAGCTCAAAATGTAAAACCATTATTTACATTCCACAAACATTACCCTCACTATATTGCAGCAAAATATTCTATTATAGAAGAAGCCGATTCGCCTCTCCCTAATCATGTTACCATAGTTCTTTAACCTATCATTTGCTTCTTCGGAATTCACTAAATCCTAACAATTTAGAAGAACGTTATTGAATTATATTCTCTAGTAATTTGAAAGATTAAAGGGTTATTTATGTAGTAGTCTATGTTTATCGCCTCATCTATGAAACTATCCTGTATAATTTGACACCCTTAAAATTATCACTTGCCACTTAAAATTAAATTACAAATTATTCCTTACTTTATTCTAGTTATATTTTAGTTCCAATTTTTAAGATTAGTTCTAAAAGAAATAAAACACTAATTGCAATAAAATACAACAGAAATTCAGGAAATAAAAAGGTCTGACAGAATATATAGCTTCCTGAATCCGATTTCCACATCCTTATTGGATCAACTCGTTACATAACATAACAATTTTGGCAGCAAGGACCTTCAATCAAGTCTTTGAAGAATGAAGAGGTTTTAAGGTTACGTAACAATATTTCTAATATGATCGGTTGCTGTGCTATTTTGGGGTTTCGATCTTTAAAATTTGTTCTAACGATTACTTAGTATCACCTTTTCAATTAAGACCTTAGTTTTGTTTGTAAAATGATTAATTGGAATGATTTACTCATGTAATGTACTTTAGGAAATCAACCATGTATAACCAGTAGCAAAAATAGAGAATGTTGGGGGGGGGATGTTGTTATTGCATTAACGTGTTTTTTTTCTATTAGTTAGATATTTTTAAGCTATTTTCAAAATAACGCCTACCTATTGTAGCCACAAATATATATGTATATATTTTTTGATTAAGTATAAGGGACAAAATTACCGTAGACTACAGTAACTATTTAGATAAGTTATTATCTTCTATTTTTGAAGAATGGAAAGAGGTGGTTTTTCCCTCTATGGTTCCTTAATATAGTGCTGATTTAGTAAATAGAAAAAAAAACTTATGGCAGCTGTATTTATGCATCTGTACGAAATACCGAAACTAAATTTGTTTGTTTAAACTGTCAATAGTGTTTCTATAGTTTTAAAAACTAGATTACAAGTATATTACAGTAAATACAAGTAAGTAGTATATTACAAGTATATTCGATTTTCAAGTATATTACAATGTATATTTAAATAATCTGTTATCCCCTTACCGAATAAATGAATGTATCAATTATTTTATAGCAAGTGAACCCTACGTATGTCATTTAATTTTTATCCAAATGCTGAATTTGTGTCACGTTGAATGTTTACAGCTGTTACGTTAAGCAAATGGTATCCATATATAAATCCCAAAGTACCCATGAACTTTTGACAAAACCATAAGTCACTCCTCCATTAACCATATATGTACCTAATGTGTTCGTCATGACGAGAAACCTTGCGCAAAACTATCCATTTTTCATAAATTGCCCTTTAAGGTCGTAATTCCTTGCCTTGGTTAAGCCCGTGGGTAACAGAAAGGTAACAGCTAGTTGGTTTTTAAACATTATACATCAAACAAATACTAAGAAACACGCATAGTTTACATATGTTTTAATCAGCCGTTATGGTCTTTGAATGGTCTGTATTGGTTCCTAATTTAATTATATTTAAAAATAAACTATATAACTAAGCACGCTACATTTATCAAATCAAATGCCCTTTTCGCCAGAGCAGATTTTTAGGTTAGGAGAGAATCAAAGCGGTTGATGCGCGTGACGGAACCGGAAGCAAGAAGAAGGGAGACAGGAACTCTGTCAGGGTCGCCAACTTGTGATCGTTAAAAACATCCTTCTGCTTAATATTGTTGCAGTGTCTTAGTGGCTTTCATGTACTGTGGATACAACTGTTTCAGGTAAAAGTTTCGTTTCACATCTGTAGATGCGGTGCTAAGTTAGTTTTCTTAAACTACAAATAAGTTTACTACTTTTCAAGCTATTTAATTATGTTGATTTAGATTTAGTTCTATGTGGTACTATTATACTTGCATACAATTACAACCTATTTATCTTTAGGCTACTGTTCTAAACACTCCATACTCGAGTACTTACTACTCCATAAAATATTGCATTACATTACCGTTTATATCCACACATTTGATGTGACGTCTGGTCATCTAGATAGCATATTGAGGTCTCAAATTTTTTTGTGGATTCCCTATCTTCTAATCTAAGTGTTCCAGGTCGAGTAGTCTTTCTATAGGAAAAGGCTGATCTGCTTGTTTATACCAAGAAGTTATATATATATATATATATATATATAAACTAGGTTCTGTTAAAACTTTTGCCTCCATTGATTGAATTTAAATTCAGTTTTAAATATCCATGGTAACCAAAATCAATCGTTTGTATGATAAACTATGACAAAAGCTTTAAACAAAGGTATAACCTTTGTATTTGTTTACTATAATATTTAAAACCTAGCTAAACATAAACTGTAACTAGTGTACCTGTTGCTCGAATTCGAGCATTCTTTTATTTTGGGCCTATATCAAATTGTCCAGTATTTCTCACTTTTTCCCATTGTAATTTTAAAAATTACACCAACCAAGTATCGTCTACGACAGATTCAATACGCCAAAGAATATCTTCTACGTGCAATATCCAAGAAGTGGTAAAAAAGGCAGAAACCAAGCCATACAATAGATATAAGTTAACTCCATAAGAAATAATTTTAAAAGTTACTGTGATATTAGGATTTTCCACTGATTTGGTAATAGAACATTATATTGCAAAACATGACACGATGCAGAAGAAAATCAATTTTAAAATCAGAAAAATCCATTGCAAATACTGTACTTTATTTTGACAAATTCAATAAATCACAATTTAAATATTAACAGCTGTTGCATTAAAAAGTAGTGTAGAATTATGCATATGGTCGTAATGTAAACAAATCTGAAGAGGCAACTTTAAAGGCTTCTGGGGCAGAGCCCCAAGGGAATTTACCTCTTTCCTCTTTTGATGGCTCATCTACAGACCAAGACCTTTCTTTAGAGACCCCTACCAAGATTCTACGCCCAGCCGTTCTCTCAAATTAGCTGTGACAAAAACACCGTTTTCCTCCATAAGAATAACATGGGATGGGAATTTAAAGGCCACGGGGGCAGAGCCCCAAGGGAATTCACCATGTTTCTCTTTTGATGGCTCATCTACAGACCAAGACCTTTCTTTAGACACCTCTACCGAGTTTCTATGCCCAGCCGTTCTCTCAAAATAGCTGTGACAAAGAAAAACAGTTTCAAATTAATATATGTACTGACACGTTTTCAACGGTGTTAAAGAATTAATTTGATGAAGTATTAAGTAACTAATTATTGAAGTGAACAGCTAGAGCTCCATTTGATCTCACGACACATTTATAGAACTAAGAGTTTTGTTAACATTGTCAATTATGGTTGGTAATAATGATTTTATTTCATGAATTATGGACGCAGAATAAAGATTTTATCTGCGTCCTCGTCCCGTTTTTTAATCACTGGTAAAACAGCTAGTTTATTTAAAACCAACTTTTATTGCAATTATTAGCCCAAATATTTAAATCAACTTAAATTCAATCATAAGCTTATTAATGTTGTGCACATATTAAATTGTCCGGCCTCTAGTGTATACAATTGGTAATCAATGTGTATACTCAAATTTAAAAATTCTAATTTATTCTGTAAAATTCCAAGTATAGTTGGATTTTCAACATAGCTCTTATAAAGGGCCCAATTTCAAAAGCAAGGTAAAGTTTTTTGCGTACTGGAGGTCATTCCTAGCATTGTATGGTATTAGTCAAACCCACGGTTGTTTTGGAAAGGCAGTTGAGCAGTTCAGGGGGTTCAGGGTTACGCTATAATGAGACGCGATCCAAGTTTTTGGGGACTATAACAACTAACATGATTGAAGTAATATTGGGTTACCGATTGTATTGTAGTGTTGGAGCCTATTCATTTGGTTCACTATTGTACTAGAGTTGTATCGCTTAGTAATGCCACTTTAGTAATACAATAGTATCAATGACCTACTCTACAAAACATGTCCACTACAAATGGCGACCTTCTCTACACATTACAAACACTAGGTCATTGAGACTTGAAGGATACCAATTAACATCCTGTGTACATGATCCGTTGGGCTTAGTAGTCATTAATGCCATGGTGTATCATCATATTATTGCAATGTAATTATATTAATCATAACTGTATTCTGAACAAAATACAGAAATACTGTATTCTGAAATTGGTGTCCACAAAAGAACTGAAACATTTTAAAGGCAAATTCTGATACCAAATGAGAGACTTACCGGTAATTTAATGTTTTATATATTTAATCTAAGCTAAAATTCTCAAGTTGCGTTAGAAACTTATTATAACTCGATATGAGCACCATTGGTGGCCCGGCATTAGATGAAAAGGCGATTTAAAAAACTCCAAAATTGTGGGGTCTAAGAAACAAACGGTAAAAAGTATATTTCTATTTTTGTGAAGGGTAGTGTTCAATTTAGAGGTTCTCCTTGCCTAGGTGACATATCTTTTTTTTCTTTTAATTGGTGGTCATAATGCTTGACTGTGCTCTGAGAGCATTTTACATGATAGTCTGTATGATGCAACCTGTCTACTGACCCTCGTTTATCAGGGACTAGTCCATTGGCAGTCCCCAGGTACTCGGGTAGACAGAAAGTCAAGAGACTGGTTCCATCGTACAGACTATAATACCATTGACTATATAAAGTTGTGGTTATATAGTCAATGATAATACATATCTTAAAGCCATTAATGATTGGCAGAACTGTTTTTTTTTCACCTGGAAAAATGCAATTATTACACTACCTAGTGTTTTCAACCGAGTATTTCAAACACGTTTTCTTTCCAGGAATGTTGGTTCCATGGATGTTTTCCGTTTGGTTACTGGGGACCCAGGCCATGGGCTCACTGGGTTCGCCTGATCCCCAATCTTCCAGACAATCCTCTAGACAATCTTCCAGACAACCTTCTAGACAAGTTTCACGAGGACAAAGCTCCCGACAGTCTCCCAAGCCGAGAGCACAGAGTACCAAGCCTAAATTCCAAGAGGTGTTCGGCTGGGGTCAGGTGGACTTTGCGTACCCCTCCGACCAAGCAAGACAGGCTGCCATAGCTGACGGGACATTTATACCCGAAAACAACCTCCCTCTGGGGATAGAGGTGAGTTATCATTGAACGTGTTGAATCTTTGACCATTGATAGACTTCAGCATCTTTAAGTCAATAGTTGAATATAGAAGCATGCTCACAAATTTAAAAACATGTTTTTAACGGGCAATAAAGTAGATGGATAATTTAATAATAGTAGTTCTAGAATACTTGTATTAATAATTGATGATTAGTATTTGAATAATTATTTGAATGCAAATAGAAAAATATGTAACAGTCGTGTAACTTCTGCACAGTTTCACTTGACATGATAGTTTTTTTTTTAAATTAATTTGGTTTCAGAGTAAATATTGAATTGCAATTCAGAAATAACAATATTGTTTCAGCCAGTTTTAAAACAAAGTACTTTTAATAATACTAGTGTACCCGTTGCTCGAATTCGAGCAATTTCTAAGTATTACAGGCGTTATTTTAAAACGAATAACGGTAATAATTTCTGATGACTTTAAAATATTCGGTTCAAAGATTATGAAAATACTCAGGATGTAAATAACAGATTGATAAAATCAACATTTATTGTGTATAGTGTTTTCTACAAATATCCTTACTCATAGCCGCATTAGGTTTCCAAATGCCTAACAGCACGACTCCCTTCCCCATACAGCCCTGAGCGATAGGGATCCTTGAGATTCGCTCTAACCTTTCCTCTCCCCTTCATGGGCAAGTTTTCATTCCTTTTCTTTCTTAATTTTTTTTTTTAAATTTTAACGCCTGTATGTATTCCTGGTTTTTCCTATTTCTCTAGCTACTTTTGTAAACGTCTCAATTTTTTTTCCTTGTCACTCATCATGTTTTATTTTCTCATCTCTAGACCTATCTTATCCAAGACTTATTCCTGTTCTCTCCTCTTTGTCTCCTGAAGTGAACAATTTATAAAAAATATGTGACTCGTGGTTTTTATTTCTCCACATATACATACTTCCTCTTCCACCATGTGAAATCTTCACAAATTCAACTTGAAATTTTCCATGTCCTGTTACAAACTGCGTTTCATAATGGCCCATCTACCAAATTTGTTCCAGTCTCTTTCTGGTGTTAGGTATATACCCGAACCTTTAAAATGTTAACATAAAACACTCTGCTCCCAACGCATTTGCCACTCATCTAATATCTCCTCTCTTCTGTTTCCAATGTAGTCATACCCGCCTCCTTGTCTTCCAAAATCAACAGCTTATGCAGCGATTATCCAACAGTCCTAAATTGAATGTGAAATATTCAGGCGCCTATTGGGGAGCACACTTAAACCCAACACGGAAGGGTGCTTGCTGTATTTGGCTATCAACGACAATAGTATTATTTGTATTTCGCTCGCGTCTACCAGTTACAGTTCGTCGGTCTCATCCTATTGGCTGTCCTGGTCTACGTCTTATCGTCTTTATTATGTCAAACGTTTTTTTCATCACTCCGTAACGAAAGTAACTATTTTTGATAACAGCTGACATCAATGAAAGTAGTCGTTTCCCAAGCTCTAATTTAGGGCGAGGGAAAATCGATCAGCTGATTTTCCCTCGCTCTAAATTTACTTTCCCTCGCTCTCAATTAGTTCTCCATTTATTCTCTACACGCGCTAGTGTTTTATTATGGTTTAATTTAATGATTTGAATCAGCTGTATGTATTGTTAAAAGTTGTTTTATTCTTTTATTTTCATGTTTAAACAAAATTTATTGAGAAATATATGTAGGTTTCCTTTTAGAAGATTTTATTTTATTTTTATGTTCAATCAAATTAATTGAGAAATAAAATAGTTGTAATATTACTGAGGTTTGCTAATCTGTGGTTGTGTATTTTTGCGTCGTGATGAAAAGTATCGTTCATAACTCGTACCGAAAAGTTATTACCGGCCCTTGCTCCATTATTCTCATCCTCGGCTTCGCCTCGTACGTGAAAATAGCTCTCACATACTCGGCTTCGCCTCGCACGTGAAATTGGGGTTCCCTGTGTTCGGCTTCGCCTCACACAAAAACTTGAGCGCGCGACGGAAAATGCCACTTTCGGTCCTAGTAATGAAATATACTATTGGTTATGTTTTGATTTTGTGCAAATAAAAACTGGTTAAAAACAGTGAAACATCAATATTTTCAACTAATCAATTTTAGTATAGCCAGCTGTTTCAAATATTAGTGTCCATTTCAAAGTATTCATCTGTTCAAATGTAAACAAACATTTTCTCCCTAAGAATAACATGGGAACTTTGAAGGCCACTGGGGCAGAGGCCTGATGGAATTCCAAAGTTTTTTTTGTTTGATGGCAAAACTACATGCTAAGACCTTTCTAACGACACCTTGAACATGGTGATCGGTAGCACCACCGCTCCAAAACAATTATGACAAAAATATGCCTAGCGTATTAAATATATAGATGTTTAATTTTTACATGTTGGAGGATTATGTTGTTGATAATTTTATAATATCTTTTGTGTTGCTAACTCATATATGTTTCATTGTAGGTATGGAAAGACCGAGTGTTTGTGTCAGTGCCCCGGTGGAAGGAAGGAGTTCCAGCCACTCTGAACGTCATCTCCATGAACGATCCCTCCCCCAGCCCGCTGCTGACTCCGTACCCCTCCTGGGAGTGGCATCAATCCGGGAACTGCAACGGCCTCACCTCTGTGTTCCGCATGAAGGTTTGTCCTGAGCATCATTGTTTTTTGCTGCTCTTAAATGATGTTTTAGGCAGAATATTTCTAAAACTTAAACGTAAACTAACTACCGGTACTGTACACATTTTCTGTATTATCTCACTCCTAATAAATATAACAATATACAGTATATGGATAGCTAAGTGATAGTTTTTGCCCCGTAGTCAGAATGTTGCCAGTTTGATCCTAAAAAAATGATAACGCAACCTTTTATGTAAATCGTGAAGCCAAAACTGACTCAGCTGTGATTAGGCTTTTAACAAATAAGTTTGGCTACTGTTTGGGAGCACCTAGGCTTATTTTGTAACAAAACTACAAGACTTCATCCACTCTAATTCAAATTTAGCTTGCTTCAAATATGCAAAAGCAGAAACATTGTAAATAAAGCTATATTTACCTACCTGAATATTAAAGAAACCTTGTATACAATTGTTGCTATTCTGGTTCTGGGTTAAGTAAAAATGCATTTACTTGACTATTTCTGTTTCTGCCACCAGGCTGACGAGTGTGGAAGACTGTGGGTGATTGACTCTGGAATCATTGACGCTCTTCGGACTGTCAAAGTCATCTGTCCACCCCAACTCTTTGTGTTCGACCTGGAGACCGACAGGCTTCTGTGGAAGTATGAGGTAGGGTTTGGCCGTATTGTATGTTAGCATTCAGCCATATATAATATACAGCCAATGTATAATAACAGATTTACTAAGAAATATTCATTATCATCAAAACTTCAACAAGGCAATACGGCAATAAATGAGAAGCATCCAAATGGTGTTGAAGAAAATAAGACAACAAGGATGAACCACTAAAAAAAACTTATTTTCTCACATACACCACCTCGCCTGGCTGTTATTTGTTAACTTATTTTGTTTTACTCTATTTTAAGTTGATAATCTAGAATGGATACAAGTATAAAATAAGTGTAGTATAGTAAATAACAGGGGCTGATTAAATAGTGTAGTGTGGAGATTTTCTATTTTGTATGTAATCCTATAATCTAAAACAAGCGTGTGTACGGACAAACTGTTATTTTCGTCCAAGGATTTTTGATTTTTTTTGTTTAATGAGGGGTATTTGGCCACGTGAAATGAGTCGGTCACCATGTTGGGAAAAATCCAGTTTCTGTCCTACAGCCCTTGTAAGTTACCATGTTATCAGCAATACCTTTTCGTAGCGGCAGTTAAAAATGCTGATAAATGTTATCATTACTGTCATAATTTTATTTGAGGTGTAAATAAAAATAGCTGCATTGGTCAATTTGGACTAAACATTTTAAAGAATGGTTGTATTTAGTTAGGTTTACATCAGTGTTTAATGTTTTCAAGGTTAATTTTCAAGATTAAAAATTAAACGTGGAAGACCTCGGAAGCGAAAATATTTACAGAATCTGCAAGGGAGGGAAGCTACAATTGACTACAACGAAACAAACTTTACCACTTCGTCTGCAGCCGAGCAAGATCCAACAGGATGTACATACATCTCACCAAATGTTTCAGAATCTCGTTCAAGTGCTGCATGAATAAATGAAAGTAGTGAAATAATTTCAGATCTTATGGCCGAGCAATATGATGAACAACACGCTGATCATTTTGAGCAGGAGAGTCAATGAATCGCAGCTTGACATTTTCAAAAACGTCAGCGCACTAAAGTCTGAAATTCCTCAAACCTATAAAGTCGCCATGTCGGTGGATGAGAATTATTATTGAATAAGCATTATGTACCCACATTGCTAGCGGACAATATTAGAAAATTTTTAATACTCAAGCTATCCTTGCTCCGTTGAATGCTGAAATTGGAAAGATAAACAACAAAATTATCCAAATGCTACCAAGCCATGAGAAGGAGTCAATAATTCACTTATTTCAATGTTTTATTCAATCCGGGCAAAGCTCAGTTTCCCGGTATTCAATGTAAATAATTTATAAATAAAAAACTTTTTTAAAACAAAACGTTTTTAAATGCACTAAAAAGTAGAAAATAATTTATAAATATGTGGAGAGTATAAATACTTGTAAGATTTAAAACGAAAAACGTGGGGTGCATGCAATAGATAATTTACAATTACCTTCACCTATTGAACTAATGTATTATTATCAATTGCATGCACCCCACGTTTCTCGTTTTAAATCTTACAAGTATTTATACTCTCCACATATTTATACATTATTTTCTACTTTTTAGTTTTTATTAATATGTGTGGATGTTAAATCTATTTCATGCATCTATATCAGATTAGGACAGAGGCATGTGGGAAATCTAAGGTTTATTTGAGTTTCTTTCAATATAATTATGTATTAGATTGAATGTATGGCCTACCTACTAACTATAAATATCAATCTATTTAATTTATTGTTTACTTTATAGAATACTAAATAAATAACAAATGAAATTATTAACAAACACCTTTATATCTGCAATCAGATTGTTTATCTTTATTTTGAAATGTTTGTTTGTACAAAGAATCTCTTGGGAGCAGAACCTGTACCTCTTAACCTCTGCTTTTTAAACTGTCAAATTTAAGTATTTACAGCTGACTTTAATTAATTGATATATTTACATTCTTTCAAAATGTAAACATGAAAAATTTGGAAGCCAGAGGGGCGTAGCCCAAGGGAAATATGAAAATTAAATGCTATAATATTGCATTGTCATCCACTTGTGAGCTATGTTTCAAATTTCAAGTCTCTAGCTCATCGGGAAGTTAGTATAAAATTGATTCAAAAATCTGTAGGAAAGTGAGCTAATAAAAACAAGCCCATGGGGCGTAGCCCAAGGGAAATATGAAAATTAAATGATATAATATTGCATTGTTATCCATTTGTGAGCTATGTTTCAAGTTTCAAGTCTCTAGCTCATCGGAAAGTATCAAAATTTTCAAGAAAGCGAGTTAATAAAAACAAGCCCGTGGGTCGTAGCCCGAGGGAAATATGAAAATTAAATGATATAATATTGCATTGTCTTCCATTTGTGAGCTATGTTTCAAGTTTCAAGTCTCTAGCTCATCGGGAAGTTAGTATAAAATTGATTGCAAAATTTGTACCGGACAAGAAAGCGAGCTAATAAAAACGTTTTAAAAATAGCTCACAAATCACAAGAGGACGTCTGATTTACAATAAAATCAATTTAGGAGTATTATCCTGACTTCCAAAATACCGTTACAAAAGGTGGTATTCATACATTTTGATATTAGGTGGAACTTTTCTCGCTGGTGTTAACAAAAACCCTAATGAAATTCTAGTTTATGAATAAAACTTTTGTACATCTGCTATAGAAACTCTGCTTTTATATTTGGTTTTTGTAGTAATTTGCTAGAATTTATCTTTCACAACTTATTACTTTGAAAAAGAAATGTTTATATAATTATTTTCACTTTTCAGATCCCTAAAGATCAGAATCCAGAGAGTGCTTTATTCACGTTCATCACTGTAGACATCAGGGACAATGACTGTGAGGACGCCTACGCTTACATTGCTGATGTGTTCAGGTTGGTGTAGAAAATGTCAACTTTCTTATTTACCTGATAGCAGATTATTTAGGGTGGAAGTCCGGGGACGGTTCAATATTTAAAATACCCCCGCCGCAGCAAACCTGCAGACTAAGCGAATTTCCATTTGCCTTGATGATAGGATTTACACTAAAATGTCTACTTAAAAATATAACATTTATTCCCTATTTAACACGTTCGCTGCGGGTTACCGCCCGGGCGGTAGCTCCGCGCTCTGCCACGCTGCGGCGCGCCGCCCGGGCGGTAATGTGCACCCGCCAAACTTATTCCGTTTGAGTGCAGCCGCACTCCGGTGTAGGTCGGAGTATTTTTGTCCGTGCTTCGTGGATGACAGTGGCAGTTTTGTGGTGCAATCCATTTGTAATTATCGTTACTCGTTCCGAAACTATACCTGGTTGATTTTGACTCACTCATTACGTTTGTTAACTGTAATTTTGTGCTATATTAATTTTGTTTTATTGTAAAATAATGGCATCTACTGTGGGTGTTAAGCAAACTACGTCGACTCTTGTCATGAAACAGGACATCACCACACGTTATTTGATATTCGTCATACCGAAATATGAAAGCCAATAGCCCGGCAATCGGGTTTGTTCGACGCTGCGGGCTGCGCCGCACTGGGGCTACGCCTGCCATTTGATGGGCAGCAGCGAACGTGTTAAATAGAATTAGTTTAACAAGTACTTAGGTTTGCTGCATCAGGGAGGGTAAAACTGTTTGTTTTTTTTTTGTAAAATGTTAATAGTTAGTAACAAATAAAGACATTTTCCAAATTTGATCAAAATATGTTCATAAACAAGCAAACTACAACAGTTTACTTATTCGCTGCTAGCAGTCGGTGTCTTGCTTGGACGGGAAAAATGTCAACCAGTACAGTTTGTACGACAGGCCTGATAGTTTTTGTAAATTTTATTCATATTGTTTGTGTGTGTTATGTGTTTTAACTTCACTTTTGATTTGATTTGTAAAATATAATTATCTTCCCCATTTAGATACGGTTTGATCACCTACCGCTGGAAGACAGACAGTTCCTGGAGGATCACTCACCCCCACTTCTTCCCTGACCCTCTCGTCAGCAGATACAGCCTTGATGGGCTCACCTTCCGATGGACCGACGGAATCTTTGGACTGAGTCTGTCACCGGTGAGTGTCAAAGAAGTACAATCATTTTGTTTTCATAACGGTGATTAGGATTTTGGCGATTTAACATTATTTGATTATTTGTATACCAATGTATCACAGGGTAGAAAGCAAGCTTGTATAGTGGTAGAGCGCCAGACTTTGGTCCTCGAGGGCCCTAGTCCAAGTCCCTCCAATCACCAATGAATTTTATCTATGTGATTATGCCGCAACCTCTTGGCCCAGCCTGAAGTAATGTAAAAAACAATCCGGGGTCAAAAACCTAGTAAAAATAGAGAAAAATTTATCACGGCATAGTTGTATCACTAGCTGTATCACAGCTTCCAATAAACTGCAATTGCCTACTGCTTGTTCTTTATCAATACAACTTCTAGAATTCCCTCAAAAGAATGATGATGCTTATAGTTGGCACTCTCTTAAAATTTCAGTTGACTAGCCTATCCTACCTATTACATCAGTTGGTTTTTTATCTTTCAATTAAACTAATAAATTGTCTCTTTCAATAACAGCTATCAATGACAGCAGTGGAACACATTTTAGATAAGCAATTTTTTAAACCAGGTGTAAGGTATACATTTTGTTTTTACAGCTTCATTTTAGTTTATAAATATGACTTTTATTGTTGTCGACATTAAACCACAGGTACAAGAGTGTTAAAGAATTGCATCAATAGTAACATTTACTGAAACTAATCGATTTCTCCTTAGGTTGACCCTGTAACTAAAGACAGAACTATGTTCTTCCATCCGATGTCGAGTTTCCGCGAGTTTGAGGTAGCAACGTCCATCATCAGACGGGAAGGTGGAAACTTAACTCAGGAGGAGAAGGACTCATTCTTCCTCCTAGGAGAGCCGAGAGGAGAGAGCAACAGTCATGCTAGCGCCTCCGCAATGGACAGGTGAGAAATAGTCTTGATTTTAAGTTGGTCACATAAAAATCGCACATAAAAAAATCATCACATAAAAAAAGTTGTTTTACCAATCATTGACTTGATACTTCCAATGATTTTGAATATTGCAAGTAGACTTCTTGTCCTACAGTAAAATATGAAGCATGTTTAGATATCTTTTATGTTAATTAGTAATTACATCTGATTGTGCTGATGTCAATGACTAAATTTTGTTCTCTTATTTCAGCATAGATATGACAATTTATGCTTTATTCTGAACAAGTACAGTACCAGAAGACAATAAATAGTTTACAAATAAATTTGTATTTAGTTACATTTGTTTTCTTATTATTTAACTTATTTTACAGCAGTTTTAACCAAGTAAAAGACCCTAATTATGAACAGTAGCTTGTACTGTATAACAAAACAGTTAAGCATAAACCCTTTAATAAAAGAGAATCATATTTAATCAACATTATTAGCAAACTCACAACGTTAACAGCATTTAACTCATAATACCCCTGCCGCAGCAAACCTGCCGACTAAGTGAATTTTCATTTCTCTGAATGATTTTCAATTAAATCTATTTAAATAACATTAGGTTTAACGAGTACCTAGGTTTGCTGCCAAAAGGAAACTAACTAATAAAGTGTGTTTTAGTAAAATATTAATAGCTTAGTATGAAATAAATAAATTTGCCAAGTTTGATCAAAATATATCCATAAACAAACTACAAAATTTTCAATATTCTCCATAGGAATAACATGGGAATTTTTCATTTACAATTTTTTGAAATTTCTCCGTTACCAATAACCGTACAAAAACACTTTGATATACTAATTTATTTGTTTTTTTAAGCTCTTTAATATGGTCTAGAGATAAATTGGGAAATTTTGTGTTTTAGGGGTCAAAAATGAGAAAACCCAATTTTTACCCCATAAAACCCCCCGTAAAACCTTGTTCCCATGGTCCGATCATGCTGGTTCGCGAACTCATTCAAGTTTATCCTCCCTTACACCTTTACACCAAATTTCATCAAAATCGGACAAAAATTACTCAAGTTATTGTGCGGATGGACACATATATATATATTTTTTAATTTAGGTGTTCACGTAAACCCAGCAAATGTTTTCTTCAAGTTTTACAGCTAAAAGTTTCATTTTCCAGAAACGGAATCATGTTCTACAACCTAGTGACAGCTAACTCTGTCGGCTGTTGGAACTCCCAGACCCACTACTCTCCGAGGTCACAGGGTGTCGTTGAGAGAAACAGCAAAACTCTCAACTTCCCCAACGATCTCAAGGTGGACCAAGAGCCGGAACAGAACATCTGGGTGTTGAGCAACAGGTTGCACAAATACCTCTACAGCTCTCTCGACCCTACTGACGTCAACTTCCGACTACTCACGGTTCCGGTGAAAGAGGCCATCAAGGGGACTGTGTGTGAACCTGGAGCAAACATACCAAGTGAACCGGTCGAGAAATGTCCTAAAAAGCATTAAGGTATTTGAAAAGATAGTCAGCTTATCTTTGACTATTGATTGAAGTAGACATCCCATTCCTGTTATAGTTGTAGCTATTAAGGGAATGGAAATGGACAAGTCAAATTATAATTGAGCCACCGACAGAGTGATTGCTGTTGGATATGCCAATTTTTAAACCAAGCATAACTAACAATGGAAATCACTGCATCATTCATGTAACTTCAACTACCTATCAAAATGTTGTCAGAATTTAGTGTTACCCAGTTTCCTCCTGTGACACAAGGCGGCGTTGGTGTGTGGCAACGTTGCAATGTCATGCATATTGCCATGGCAATAACAGAAATAACAGAAGTGTAAACATAAAAATTTCCTATACTGTCCATTATAATAAAAATTATAATTATTATAATAATTAGTGCTACATCTGTGTCGGTTTGACGGGATAGCGGTGTTGCCACTTTTGTCTCGCTGATTTACATTTTACCGCCATTGAGGTGTATCTGAACACAAAATACGAAAGACTACATGCTACTACACTAACTTAATTCTGTCTATAGGACACTTCTTGGCTCATTCAGATACAGTTGATAGAGTGTTTATTTCTTTATTTATATTTTATATGAAATTTCCAAATTTCCGATTTAATTTTTGGTTGAAGTATATACCTAAATATTTTATTGCTTGGTCAGGAGGGTTCCATGTGATCTGTTCACCTATAAGTTCAATATTTGGAGGATCTGACGGTTTTTGGAGGGTGAAAATCTTTGCTTCACCCTTCATCGGATTTATAGCTTTTCTCCATTTTGTGAACCATTCCATCAAATTGGCTACAGCTGGTCTACATAGATGGGATGTTACTACTTCAGAAACCAAAAGGCAATGAAATGAACTAATCTTGACTCTCAATACCTATCATAAAAAGTGGTGTGGGACACAGCTTTTCAAAGTGACATGGTTGTACAATTGCCTAAAAATTTTGAGAGGCCACTTGGAAATTTGGTAACATCACCTCAAGTTAATTTATTAATTTTTGCCCTCTTGCTCATTCTTTGTTTTTCATACTTGTAAAATTTTTTATGTATATCTATATTAATTTATTGCTTTTAAAAATTAGAAAGGTTAAAAAAATCTATGCAGTTACAAAGTTAACACGATATAGAAAACAATATATTTTTGTCCAGATAAATTTTTACTATAATATGTACCTTTACTTTAAAATACTTCTGAAATAAAGAACCAATTGACCAATTAAATTGTGACTTAATGAAGTCTGCATCTGTTTAACACCATTATAAATAAAATTTATTTAAATGAAACTTTGTAGCCTACTCTAGGTACCTTTTGTGAACTATTGTATTAATGTGTAAATAAATGTATATACTTTTTTATTCTTGTTTAATTGAATCTTCAACCCCTGAATAGGGATAAAAGAAACTTATCAATATTGTAAATTGTGTAGTTGTTAAACTTTTTATGTTTTATTCACTGAAAGCAATGCAGTGGTATATTTTACATTTAATTAACTAAAATTTGTTGTTTGAGTTTACTCTTTTTGAGACTTAACTTTTCAGGAAAATATTTGTTTTAATCATAAGTTTTCAATCCGTTTGTTGTTGTTTTCAAAATGGAAAAAAAACTTAATAGTTTTGTGAAAAAAGGTAATAGACTATGCAAACTCAAATAATACAGTTCCACTTGTCTATGATACTTTTTTTTGTGTGTGTTTTATGCATAAAGCTATCATATTAATATATGAAGAAAATGAAGTTTCACAGCTCGGAAGGTGATAAAAGAGTCTCAACATGTGTACTGTCCGCGAGAGTAAAGAAGTCCCTTGAGCAAGAGCGATACGCAGCTATATTTGGAGGGTATCGCGTACTATTTGCAGGCGCTAAGCATCAGGGCGCCTCGCCTCGATGTCTGTCTGTAAACAACTGTTGTAAACATAATTACTCATATCTTTGTTTTGGTAAGTGGATTATCATCATGTGGTCACGTAATTTGATTCAGTGCAGTCTCATGTGTTCTGTTTTGTTTTGGATGGTCCTTGTAGCTATGGATTTAAGAAAACGTGGTGCTACTATACAAAACTCTGTACACCCGGTAAAAACGCAAAAAGGCTGACAACCATAGAGTACAAATAGATAGCTTTGATAGGCGTGTAATCGTAGATGTAAGGCCGGGCGCGCACTATCCCGACCACGACCACGACCACGACCAAACGCCCGACCAGTGGTTGTCATTCACCATGTGACCAGAGCACGACCCGACCAAGGCAACGAATGTTTTACAAACTTCAGTGTCAAGATGATTGTTGAAGAAGTAGTTGTTATGGTGCATTTGTATTGTAAGTACGTTAAGCCGGTTATAGTAGTACGTTTTCTGTGGTTAAGCGGAAGAAGACACTATACTGGGTATATCCAATGTTAACTATTAGAACAGTCTGAAAGGGCATTTTGCAACATTTTATGAAGAGCTACGTCAATATGAAGACGGGTTTCAAAAGTGTCAAAATCCTGCGACATTTTACCAAATGAGTCACTTCACAGACCGGCGCAAAAAACTAGTGCTTGCCGTTTGATTAGTCTAGGAATACTGGGGGTTGAGTGGTGTACTGGTTGGGTCGGAGGCAAGTCGGGGGTAGTGCGCGTCGTCCCATTACATTCTGTGCTATTTTTGGCTGCAACGACCAGCGGGTCGGGCCCGACCAAACTGGAAAATTTTGGTCGTGCGACCAGGGCCCAACTAGGGTCCGACCAGCCGACCAGTGCGCGCTGTTCCATTTATTCCTATTATAAAACTGGTCGTATCTGACCAGTCGGAGTCGTGGTCGTGGTCGTGGTCGGGATAGTGCGCGCTGGCCCTAATACGCGATTTTTACACGAACAAAGGAATTGTCTCTACATGTAAAAAAACTATTACCTGTTTTGAGAGGAATAGGTTACAATCGAGGGTTTCCTTCGATTGTATCACTATGCAAAAAATATTATGATATACATTGATAAAAATCATACAGATATTACATACAAAAATTAAGCCTAACAACTAGCAAAGCAGAGTGAAGACGGCTCTAATTGTCGCGCAAAACGTTCAAGACTAACGCCTTCAAACTACGAATAGGCCAGAGCTCAGGGGACTTCTTTACTCTCGCGGACAGTATCCAACTATTTCTTTACTTCCCATCCTAGGACGAAGGCTCTAGCCTTGTACTGTTTTAAATACTACTTCAGACAAGGTCTAAAAGCTTGGGCCATTTTCACTTAGATAAAAATCTATTGGTGGTTGGTGGGTTTTGAGCCCAAAGACTGAAGTCCCACACTACCAATAGACCAGTTTGCTCACAACATGCAAATCGAATAGAATGAAAAAATCATATGGCAGAGTTAAGAAACTTCAAAATGGTTTGCTAATAACGTTCACACAGTGGCTAAGTTTAATCTTGATGTCTTAAAAAATAAAATACTATTGATTGTTCACAAACAATGGAAAAATAAATTAAAGACAACATTCGATGCAACTTTTTACTCACAGGTCTATACAGTATACGGGCAAGGCATTACATAGTACAAAGGCATTATAGGCAGTATATAAGACTCTGTTGTTTGACGTAGGTAGGTAGTATTGAAACATTAATGTTTTTCAAATCCTTAGAAATGGCTATACGATTTTATCCTATTGAAATAAACTTATGATGATTAAAATAAGAATAAAAACAAAAAGTTATTGATCAAGTACAGTAAATGACAATAGGTACCAATAGTTTAGGTTGGTCTAGGCTGCTAAAATACCTTATTCATTTCTACACATATCTTCCATTCACTTAACATCTATAGATTACAGACCAGAGCCTTAAAATAAGTTATTTATCTAGAGTCAAGCTATTCATTTTCTTGCCAATTCCTAACGTGACTGATACTCTGATTAATAACATAACTGAAGGTGTGAGTTTTTGGCCATTGCAAGTCAAAAACAAAACCTGTTCTTGCTCAGGAAACTAACCATGGTGATGATTTCAATTGTAGAAAAATCTATGTGTAAACTAAAAGTAGGAACAAATTGGAATCGTCTACAGCTCTAGGTTCTCTCCACAGGCTCTTATTTCCATAGTGAATCCAACACGGACAAAATGTCTAACTTTTGTCACACTTAATAATTTATGATAATGGCAGCACAAGAAAAATTTACTTGATGCTCACACAAAACAGTACCTGTTTGATAACAAAATCATTGACCAACCTTAAAGACTTACTATTTTGTTTTTAACAAAAAGTGATATACTATTTTATATCTATGGAAATATTTTGTGTCTAAAATCGTTATCTGATTGTCCAGTCTAATATTGCAAATGAAGATCTAAGCCTATCCGGTTCCTAGTCTACAAAAAATGATTGATTAGCAATATTTTAACAAATAATGTGTAAAGAATAAAACAAACACTAATAAAAGCACAGCCTTCTTTTTATGATGGTGCAGGAAACTAAATACTTATGATCTAGTTATAAGTAACCATAAGCAATGTGTGGTTAACTTTTTTGTAATTATAATTATTTTGTTAGACTGATGAAAAGGTCACAGTGACAGTTAGACGCCGTTTGATGGAAATTGTTATTGAGAGTAGAATATAGTGTTATTTGTGTAACTAGTGGGCAAAGTGGCACTTTGCTGCACACGAGAGCAATGTTTACGCACAAACCGCAGGCGAGTGCGGAATGATCTCGAGTGCAGCAAACGCCTTTTGCACTCGTGTTACACATTATATTTTTCCTACAGTCACTATAAAGCATATAAATAATTAGTCTTTCAAACACTATACAACACGTTTTTAGGTTCAGCTGGCAACACAAATAGGTGCCCTAGAGAAAGTAGTACCCGGTCCGTATCACTCCGCTATTTTTCCTCGGCAAGAAATGTGCTCCGCAACTTGAGAATATAGTTCCGTATGTTTTTGTAATTTGAAGTGGTTTCCCCGCCTACAAAAAATGCTTTAAAGGTATTTTCTTGTTTATTAAGATCGTAGGAATGTTTTAAAAACGTTTTAAAGGAAAGTCCAGAAAGTTCAGAAATACCAAAACTATAAACACAAAATGACAGGTTAAATCGTAGTTATAATAGTCAATCAGCTGCTCATGGTATTATTATCTTTAAGTGTTGCCAACCTATTTCCAAGCGTACACGGATTACGTGCATAATACAGTAGAACCACGCTGTTTTGTGTTGTTTCGTTGGAATCCTGATGTGCGCCAAAGCATAAACCGTACGACGAAGTATAAATATGCAGCAATTAGCAGCTTTCTGTACTATGAACAGTACAAGGAAGCCAACTTTGTCGGGTGACTGTAAGAAAAGATAATTTATTTTCAGTTGCAGGTTGCATTTCAAACTTTTATGGAAGTCCTAGTTTCGTTGATTTATTTTCTCTTATATTACAAATAATAGGAAATAAAAAGAAACAAAATAAGAAAAATAGTTATAATTAACTGCTAGTTAAAACTGGTAAAAAAAAATCCAACCAAGCAAAAAACAAAATATTATTTGTAAAAAACTATCAATATACCATAATTAAATAACTCTGAGCTAAAAAGTACTATTTATAATTCCAATTTTGTAAACGTAAAACAAGTGTTACAAACCAGAAGAGACTGGAGGGATCACCAAACCATAACAACAACAACAATGGGTCTGTGATAAAAGATTCAAACAATGTAGTTCAATTAATTTAACTAAATGATCTTAACCAAATGTAATATTAAAGAGTTCCTTTATCACTATCTGTTTAAAGTTTCGATGCACAATAATTTGTGTGTCAAAAATTCTGTATTATTCCAAAACACGTTTTTAGTGTGTTTATTTCTGTAATAAAAGTACTCCGACCAAAATCCCTGATGCACCGGCCGCCACTGATCTAAACTATGTTTTATACTATACAGAAGATAAATTTATTTTTAACTACTAGGGAATTTTCACCGGCCAGAACTAGAATGACAAGTATTGTTAGATCACTCATGCTATCTGTATGGTTATTTGTTTATATTGATTGTTTTGATTTTGACTATATTCCTTTGAGAAAACTTAACTTTCTACAATCATTATATAGGTTAAGTCTAAACTAACAAAAACTAACTAAAAAAACTATCTGAAATATCGACAGTGTTTTAACAGTCTTTCAGGAAAATCTAGCACCTTATTACTAACAGGTACAAACCTTAGACAAACTAATTAAAAATACTACTTAAAGCACTTGTAACACAAACAATAAAACTTGTGTATACGATACACAATAAAGATCCCCAAGCGAGAATACTCCATAAAGTAACAAATACGCAAAACTAGATTTCAAAGTTTCCAAGTAAATGTTTCCATACATTGATCGTATTAATCAGAATTAAGTTTTAGACTCATATTTTTGAAAAGTCAAAAGAAATCACCCACAAATAAATATGTATTTCTCAATTAGGATCATAAAATTATACATTCTTTACCTCTGCTCCAAAATACAAATGTAGCAGTACGTTATTAAGCTTCATTAAATTTAGACTCAGTAACAAGATTCAAATTGAGAAAGTAAAGTTAACTTTTCACGTAGAGGTTAAATTACACCAGTTCACAACTTTGTTTAAATATTAAGAAAAATATGTACGTTTATGCTGCTAAAACTTCTATCGTTCTATCATAAATAATTTACTGTGAGTTTTTTGCAATAAGTTTCTTCTCTAATCTATAAACCTCTGCAACACCAACTCTTAACCCTTCGAGTGCCATGCAACGATATATCGTTTTGCATGGAACATCCAAAAACTACTTCACAACAATATTATCGGGCCGGTGCGACTTTCGATTATGGTCGACTCAGTTGTTATTTTAAAACAACGATTATTTCATTAGATTTTTCATACGATCGAGGCACAATATATTGTTCCTTGGCACTTTTGGGATGAAAATTTATACTTTTAAAGATTTTCATTCTTGCTCAATACGCTAAGCCTTGCACTTTTCGGACATACCTAGTAAAAAACTTTGGCACTTTTTGGAAAGTACCAAAATAAATTTCTGGCACCCAAAGGGTTAACATTGGTACTCCAAAACAACAAAAAAATCTAAAACTTGAATGGAAGCACAAACATAATGTACAATATTATGCTCCTAGCAAACAATGTAAATGGTTTGTACACAATTGTGGACATTAAGAAAAATTACTTAAATGTGCAAAACACACAATTAACTACCCTATACAATTAATTGTTGATGCACCACAACAGTAGGCAAGTTTGATAACTCTACCATTTACACTGTTGATTGACCAAACCCGGTTTTTTCTGCATCTAGTTCAATTTTATTCATGGTAGAGACTCTAACAATATAAATTAAGCTAATGAGATATGTGGGTAATTTCTTTTTGGCTTATTAATAATTTATAACGGCAGACAACAAAACAATCACAAAATCTACGAGTTTTAAAAACAATATCAACAAATACCAACAAATTATGACGGGTTTCACTTTTATATAAAAAAAATTACAGTGAGAAATTAATTGTTTTGGAGGGTAGTTATTTCAGTCAAAAATACATTTAGATAAAACTATTAACTTTAAATACCTATTATTTCCTAAGTAAATTTACCAAAGAGGAAGATTCTTAAGGACAAAATATTAAGTTTTAATGAATCTTTTCTGGAAAAGATTATACCGCTGTAACTAACTAACTGTCATTACTTACTGAGAAAACACTTTTTTTTTTCTCAACTGCCCTTGAAATACTGAACTTAAAACTATTAAGTATACAATGTTAAACATATTTTCATTGATCATACTATTATTTAGTGTGTAATTGATACACTAAGCTAATCACAAGGACAAATAAAATGCTAAACACTATTTAAGTAATTTAGGGTTTTACTTAAGAAACTGAATCCTACACATAAAGAACACAGGACTATAAATATACAGTATATTACCATATTTATTGGCTAAAATAAAGCTATTAAACATCATTTTGATGTACAAAGCTCTAAAACATCTCTTAAGTACTTGCATTTGCTACTTAATTAATGGTACGCTCTTTCTAACAATATGTAGAATCTATTAAGAAACTATTTTTAAAAATAAATTTGGAAATTTGGAGTCCAAACGTAGAGTTAAAAGCTTGACCGATATCTTATAGAAAAACTTACTGAAAGATTTCCTTAAAAAGACTGCTTGAAGCACCTGAAATTCACAAATTTCTTACATTAGAAAATACCTAGAATAATGTGATAAAAACTGTACAGGACAGAGAAAAGGTTCCAGAATTATATCATTAATCCTAACTATTGACCATAATAATGAATATTTAAAACGAGTTCCTTATAGTGTCTTCCTCACGAGAAAAGTACGGTATTCAGTACTATGTATTTATAAAAATTTTGTATTTTATAATAAATTAATAAAAGAAACAATAAAACACAGACCAAAAGGTTTCTCAAATGGTATATCAAACCATAAAAGGTTTCTCCAGCTACGAACAACCAAGATCTGTACCAAGAAATCTTCAGCTATTTTTGTGTGGTATGACTGAACACTGTAGCGGGTAATGTACATTGAGACAACCTGTTTTGCTTCCCAAGGGCTTTAGGAATTTTTTATACTAAGTCTTTCATATTTCATCTTTCTGATTGTTTTATTGCACTGAAACTATGCAGTAAAAAAACAAACTTAAAGGCTTAATAGAAAAACTTTATTAACCTTTCCCAAGCTATCCAACCTTTCCGTTTATCCGGCATTGCCAAGGCTGGTTTAGATCGGATAGTTGAGACTCCATTGCACTCTAAACCGAAAGTATGCAGGATAATTACAACTAAAACTCACAATGTTTAAGCGATGCTATCTTTATCCTTCTCTAGTGTGCCCTCGCCCCAGATGAGCCTGTTTTTGGTGTAAGGTATGAAGGCGACTAACACTCCACTGACAATGATCCAGACCCCGGCCATGTAGAAACTCAAGTCCCAATCTTGTGTCAGGTCAAACATCCAACCTAAACACCAACACACCAATCAGCCTTATAAATTTTAACTTTAAATGTGATTCCACCTGAGAATAAATAGTAGATTCTAACTGGTTTTTTGTTCAAAGTTTCTTTATTGTGATTGTGTGCGAGTTTACATTATCTTATCTACAAGATTATTGCGGAGATTTTCCATCACAATTAGTGAAAAGTAAAGTTTTCATGATTTGGGATCTAGAATCTAATACTGATTCTGCATTCTGTTGTTTGGATATTTGTTTTTTAACTACTATGATGTTTTGTGGGGGGTTTTTATTGGTTTTTTTTTCAGCTTCGGCTGGGTTTGTGTTCTGTTGTTTTAAATTGTTTAATATTTTATAATCTGAGAACATTGTTAAATCTTCTTGAAACATCCAGATCATGAAACATCATGAAAGTTTTTCTTTTACCAATCGGGACGTCTGCAATAATCTGTAATAACTGTACTAACTAGTTTTAATTAACAAATTTCAGACTTTTGGATGGTTCAGACAATATTTTTGTATAAACTGTGCTCAGAAGCACATAAACTGCAACATTTAGTCTATAAGTGGAACAATGAAACCAAAACAGTCAACTGTTTTCTTAAAATCCATAACTATTTATTTAACTTCTGTATCCAATAGTCAATGATAAAATAGACGTTTGAGGCATATTTGAATATTTTTTACTGACTTTTGACAGTTTGGGCATTCATGTTGTTAGTACAATAGTCAGGTCCCAAGGTGCATAGAGGGGTATTGTACTCTGTAGGGGGAATATCACATGTAAAAGACTAGGAGTACATTTTCATGTTTTATTCTTCACAAAATTGTAGCATAATCATCACATCTTGTGATTTAACATCTTGCAGGTTTGAATTTATGAAAAGGAAAATGGTAAACTTGAGCTTGGAAAACTACAAAATATTTTATCGCTAATGGAAGTAAATTAATATTAAATTATTATCAACGCAGCAGTGGAGGCAACTTTTTGGCGAGGCCAAAAACCTTCTTAGGTTTGAGTGGCCAAGGAGGTAAGGTAAGTAATGGAAGTAATATTACTCACCAGCCAACGGAGGGCCCAGAAGATTGCCAATCCCTTGACACAACAACACAAGGCCGTAAGCTGTTGTGAACCTCTCCAGAGGTATCAACTGTACCAGGATGGTCGGGGTGAATGAGAAGTTGGAGGCGAAGAAGATACCGAAGAGAGCACAAGTCACCATCAGCAGATAGTAGTTAAACATCATCAGAGGCATGCCGATGATAGAGATACCACAAGCTACCAGACACACTGCGTACACTTTGGGCACATTCATCCAGGGCTGGTCTCCGGCCCACCCCAGCCCAATCTGGCAACATTGTACAATGTGTGAACAAATAGGTAACACTTTGAACATCATCAGCGGCATGCCGATGATAGAGATACCACAATTTCTTTCTACCTAAACCACAAGTCAGCCTTACAGCAAATATGTGTGGTGGTGGGTGAGAAATAGAAAAATATATGACAGTTCAATGGTTGAACACATTAACTTATGAGACAGTACAAGGTTGTGGTATAATACATGTTATTAGAGTACCAAAGCCTCGCCAAGATCGCCAGAATGTAAATTTGCAGTGACTATTCAACAAACTATGATTAATTCAACAAATATCAGAGAGAGCCTACTGATCCAAATTACAATTACAATACACATATTTTTTTTCATGACATGTTTAAAATTACTAAGATAGGCGGATATTTCAAATTTAAAGTCAGAAAGAACTGGTTTTACTTCAATAAACACATTGAGTGAGGCAATTGAGTTAGAGAGGTCTAGATCAAACTGCTTAGTCTGTGAGTCACAAAAAGTTTAAACCAATTGACTCATCAGTGTTGACACAGACAGACGTCCAATGTCAGTTGATTGACCAAATGTCAACACTTTATTAACCACTCGGCGCTTCCTTGTTAAATGTTGTTTTATTTGACTGACCTGAGGAATTAAATTGTTCACACCTCATAGCTTGTTGTGTGTGATTAATTGGAACAAATTCTAGTCTAGTGTTAAAGCATGCAAGATAGCCACTGGGGCCTAAGTCAAAATAATGAGGCAAGAATATGTTTTTTTTGTTTTTTTTTACTTTTAATGTCACATTAGTTACAAAGGTTAAAAAAATTTTTGAATATGCATGAATAAAAAAAGGCAGGTTCCCTTATCAAACACAATGTTTATATTTAATTTGTGTCTGTTCTGCATTTACAAAACTCTGATATGGTAACATATTTATAACACCAACACCCAGAGAAATATTTGTGACTTTATGGCCTGTGGGGCCTGACAATGATGCCTATGCGCAACAGCTGGTTGTTGTGACTACGAACAGTACAGAGGCAGCGGCCACTGACATCAAAGAAGTTGCAATTTATTTTCGTACGCAGTTCCATGGACAACCTACAAAGTGTATGGAGATGGTGGCTATCAGTGCCTAAGGGCACCAAACCAGATACATAAATCAGTCTCTGCCACCAAATTTTGGATGTTTTGATGTATCGGCTATTAATTAACAGCTGTATCTAAGGAACATGTAGGCCTTAGTCACTAACAAGACTACAAGATCGCGCCACTCATCCTACACTCATCTCCATTCATACTTGGCTTAAAATACCTACTTTCCTATGGTCGCCATTTCAAAGAAAATTATTTAAGTAAGTATAAAAAGTAATCTCTTATATTAATACGTGAGGGCTGTTTTTTGTGAACAAAACTCCTCAGTTATTTCTGGACCGATTTTAACGTTTGAGGTGTTAAATAATTCGTCTCAATTCGTAGTTTTGCTCAAAGGGTTTAGCATTATTAATAACTCTTACCCTTAAAGGCACGAGACACGCTCATAGGTCGCATTTTCCCCATAAGAATTACATTGAAAACAAATTTAAAAACAAAAAACAGCTGTATATCAAAAGAAACTCACCAGCTTTTTGGGAGTAAATATTGATGTTTATAATAGGTAGGAGGTTATAGACAATCAGTTTTGTTGGAAGAACAGAAGATTTCTTGAGTTTAAAGGAATGATAGAAAAAAATAGAAAAGAAAATTATAACATTTGAAAACAAGGTTCTCAGGAAAATATATGGCCCGACGCTCGAAGATGGAATATGGAGAATGAGACACAACATCGAGATTAGAGAGCGCTATAAAGACCCTGACATCATAGCGGAAGTCAAGAGCAGAAGATTGAGATGGTTTGGTCATATTTCGAGAAGAGAGGAGGACTCCACTACGAGAAATGTACTTGATAGAAACCCCGAAGGCAGGAGACCACGAGGCCGTCCCAAACTTAGATGGAAGGATCAAGTACAAAAAGATGTAAGAAGACTGGGAAGGAGTGAAAATGACAGCAAAGACAGAGAGATCTGGAGGCAGTGTGTGGGCGAGGCCAAGTACCTCTTAGGGTACCAGTGGCCACTCCAGTAAGTAAGTAAGTAAAGGAGAAATATTGAAAACAGGAGGGGGCAAAATCGTATACGTATGAGAAGAGTAGAGGAGAGGCCTAGTCTAACAGTAAGGAATCCAGGTACACAATCACTTGGGAAGATGAATCGTTTTTGCCAGTTATGCTAAGCAACTTATTTTGGAAGTAAAAAAACCATGAAGAATATACACATCATGTTGTCACAGTGGTAAAGTAAACCCACCTAAAGTCAGATCAAATAAATACATGCAAGAAATGTTTACTGGTAACAGCTTTAAGTCGGGAAACATTTGTAGAAAACACTAAAAATAAGGCCGGGTCCAAAAAAATGCTAAAATATTTTTACGAGAAGCGTTTATTATTTCAAAGCGCTAAAATAGCATGAGTATTTCAATTAAGCATTTATTTAGTCGGGTCTTTTAAACTCATCGAAAATTATGACTGTTATTACTGTAGTTTTAAAATAACTTCTGTATAATATCGGTACTTGACAATTGCTCGATTTCAAGCAACAGGTACTCTAGTAAATATTATTTTATGTAAAAATCTAAAAATTGTCTTTATAATCACACAACTAAAATGCATCCATAAATTATAACCTATGTGCCAATTTGGCAAGGTTTGAGGTATTTCAAATGAACAACAGCTTGTTTTTGGCAAGGTTATGAGGAGTGTGGATGGTAAATATAATTAATCAAATGTCATGCTGAGAAAACCCTTCGTTCTTTGGTTACTGAAAAATAGAAAACTGCTGCTATTATCATCAAACATTAGTTGATTTCAAAACAGTTGGAAAGGAAGAAATAAGGAAACAGATTTGTTGTTTAGATTCATTTTTTAAACATAACAGTTTGTAAACATCCAGATTTATACTTGTAAAAAAGCAAAGCATTGAACTGATAAGATTTCAAGTTTTATCGTGAAACGAACCAGGCAAATTTTCCTTTTCTAAATTGGATAATTGGATAAAATTAGCCTTGCTAGATTCAGTTTGAAAGTAATATAAATGTTTGAATTTTGATTTCAAATAGCAATAACTTTCTCTCAGGTAAAATCAATGTTAAATTAAATAATAAAAAAATGCAGAGGTATTGACTTTAAAATAAGAATAACTTACCTATTTTCAGATTTTAACGTTCATGTTTTCATCTAGATGTTTATTAAGGGTACCTAAGGAGATACATTTTATAACAGTACTCACCATTCCAATGGTGTTGGTTATTCCGATGACACTGATTATAACTGATCCTTGGTCTTCTGTCATCCCATAGACCTAGCAAAAAACACCATTTAGTATTTATTTAGAAATTTATTCTTTCTGAATAAAATTTTCACTGATGAAATATTATACCGGAAGTCAAATTGGTTCATTTTCAAAGAGTTGTTTAGTTTCCGGATGTTTAGCACTCCGTTTAGGTACTGGAAGTTATTACCTGACACCTTGAGGCCTGATGATGGTTAAGATGTACCGAAAGTAGTTGCCAAAACAGCAAAAAAGGAATTCTATCAGGTATCGTAAACCATTATAAATTGGTGAACAAGCCATATGGTAATGAAATGGTTGGGCTAATTTATGAGCCATCAGTCTATTTGTGACAAACATTACAGACGATCTGTAAGTCACATGGTAAGCTGTTTTTGAGTGTAAGTTATAACAAGAAGGTACAATAGATGGAATAGGGACACAGCTAAATTGTATTATGAATGAGAAACCAGAGTGGCGCTTTACCTTCATGAAGTCAGTGATGTAGAAGTACGGCACAATAAACCATGTGAACAGAAGGATGGTTGCGAGGGACATAAGCAGAAAGTGGAGCTCCAGAAACATAGAGAAGTCCATCATATCGCTCAGAAGCTCTTTCAGATCCTCTCGCCAGTTCTATAACAGATGAGTAAAAATACTGTGACTCAGTAAAACAAGCAGAGACCTACGACTGGGGCTGGGTAGTAATAATAATAAGAAGTCACAAACCACAAGGTGGGTTGAATAGCTGTAACATTGTGGCGAAGCAGTAATAATAAGATATGAATTCAGCTATTAGAGTAAAAATAATACTTGCATGTTTGTCACTTTCCTTTAGTTGTAGTTTCTATTCCTCTCTGTGCTTGTTTTTTAACTCCCAATTAGTCTGGACTTTAAAGACAATGTCCGACAAAAGAATGTAGTACCAAAAAACTTCTGAACAGGGTGTTTGTGTCTAAAAAAGTACTTAGAGCTGAAAAGATATTATTTGATACTAGCTGTGTGCTCGTTCTACACATGGCGATATTTTAGTCAGTTGAAACCTTCTTATAGGCTATTCAGAACAACAGTTGGTAGATATTCTGGCAAAACTATTTATTATAGGACATAAACCTGGGCAAATACAACATCTGAAAGTTTCAAGCCAAAGCAAATGATACGCAATTAAATGTCACCCGAATCATGTTGGTCCATATATTATATCCATCAATTAAACTAAAAGAAATGCTTTATAGATCTATGAGGCATAGCCCTAAGGTAGGTCTATGAATTGATATCAGATGCAATTCTAAGATAATTAAACTTCTGGCGGAGGTTTACGTGATGGGTATAAATTATTGGTGAGTCATCTTGAATCAGGTGATTTGCTACTTTTTTTTCGTTAGTGTGTGTGTGTCTCCACCGGAAACTGAGTATAATTAAATCACTAATTTATGGAGTTTCAAGGATTAACAATACTACATTTTTTTATTATTTTTTTTTTTATCAAAGCCTATAAACCACAACTCAAAGTGCCAGCTGATGACTCATGTTTGATTGACTGTCAAGTGGCAAGGAAGTGTTTGTATTGACCAATTGACTCTGACACTTGCTAGTAAACAATGCTAAGTGGCTAAATGCCTTGTACATGCTGATGCCAGGGAGCAATTGTGTTTAAGGCAGAGAGAATATCTGAAAGGGCTTCCACGTTTGGTGCATGGTTCTTAACAATCTACACTCTTTTACACATATTTTGGTTAAAATACGCACCTAGTGGCATCCCCATCTTAAATAATTGATATAAAAATCGCTCACCTAGTTGGGTTATTGAACATCTTATCTTATTAGACAGTTATTTATGTTCTATTTTCCAGGTGATTTCTAATTAATTATTGTCTGTTGAGATAATGAAAGTTATATAGTTAGGTCAATACACGAGTATATCGTGATATTGATTAAATCATCTTAGATCACAATTATTATCTCGTCTTTGGTTTAGTCTTGAGAAGGAGTCTTGCAAAAGAGATACTTCCAATACAGCAAAGTAGATAGGACAATATGTGAATAAATAATTGTACGGGGATCTCCGTCCATCTTCTGATAACATTTCTATATGATTCTCCATCAGGTAGTACCTACTTTTTTATGTTTTCGGCGACCTCTTTTAACCTTGCATTTGCCTGTCCACGTAGGCCTCGGGACTGAGCGTGGAACGTATCCAGCAAAGCAAGGCGTAAGCTGGTAGAGTAAGAGAGTCAAACTGTACAGATCAATTGTTGTGTCCAGTACCATGATCCGAACCCACAACATTGCTGCCAGGGATCCGTGGTCTGTCACACTATCAACTGAATCACTAACTCACCAACACATTCAACAGATTCTGATTTCATCTATTTTTACCGTATATTTAGCCAATGATTCTCACCTCAGGTGCCTCCCGAGCTATGGTTGTCATGGAGTTGCGATATATGTCAGGGCAAGACGTTGCTCTCAGGTGGTACTTGTGTATGTTCAACATCGCTCCTCGGTACATCACAGAGTCCCTGAAATAGATTTTGTTTAAGTGATTATGAATTGCAATTTGCAATAAAGAGGAAAATGGCATTTGTTAGTGCAAAATTTTAAACCGTCTTTAATTTAATATGAAAAGGATTCCATTGGTCTTGGTTAAATTTAGTACTGCAGTGACAAATAGTGTGATAACGACCCTCCTCTTGTTACAATTTAAAATCAAGATCTCACATCTAATTAATTATTCAATCCAATCGTAGGTAATGCTAAATAATTTTGTAAAAACTAATTTTTATATTCAGTTCACTAACATTTAGCTAAAATTTACCAAATATCATTAGTTTACTAACTTTTGTTTAAATTTAATTTATGAGGCATATAAAAAAAGCTAAAATAACTTTTTTTTCCTTACCACCACATAAGAGACTAAAAAGTCTGTAAAAAATTAGAAACAGTAAATCTAATTCTTTTATGGATTACAAAAGATTTTCAATTTTATATTCCAAAAGAATTGTCTAAGTTAAAATTTTCTGGTTCATTCTTAATATTTTTGAAGAGTTAGGCTATACTCTTATTGAACTGTTGAATAAAAAAACAAACCATTTGAAAGATTTTGTAATGGAGGTTTAAGCATACTTACCGCCAACCAGAAAACCCTACGAGTACAAAAACTACAGTAGCCTACTACTGATGAAAGAGTCAGTAGCCCTGGAAATTCTGGGATTATGTGTTTATTTTAATTGTGCATTTCCATATATTGTTGTCAGAAGTAAGCCTGCTGCTAAACTAATATCTTACAAAATCCTTAAAACCAATGGCCAAAAGCCATCTTTGGTGTTTACCATAAACGTCATAATCATTTGAAATAACTTGCCCACACAAAGGTAAAACTGTTATAAATGAAATATCAAAGTTCAACTCTGAATCAATCAACATAAAAAAAAAACAAGAAAAGGGTTAGTTTGGAAATTAAAGGTCCTAGAATGTCGAAACGAATAAATCAAGATAGTTGAAATTCCTTGACACAATTGTCTTGTAATGAATCCACCCCCTGCCAACCCTCTTCCATTCCTTATATCAATAGCCACACCCAATCTTTCATGCTAACATAAATTTATAGGGTATATTTCATTCCCCAAGGATATTATTAGCATATTTCCCTCTATTCCAATTGATTTCATTGGTGAACTAGCAATTGAGGAAATCTTATTTTAGTGTCAAACCAGAAAGTAAGTTATCATTATTTGCAACTGCTCATTAGAGGTGATTTAAATAGAAAACAAATAGACAAAAAAGTAGGAAGCCTTTTAACAATGTTTCAGGTTTTTTTGCATGGTCTCAACTTTGGCTGTTAGTTAATGAACAAAAAGTGTACTACCATTACAAACATGCAGACGGGAATTGCATTTAAGCTGCTAAGAATCACACAAAAAACATAAAACAAGGTTATAAAAAAGTTCAAAGAATATGTGGTCAATAATACATAATTATTGATATGTTAATAATATTTCCCATCCTAAGACACTGATACAAGTGAGTACACATTTTCACATAAAAAAAGTGTGTCAAAGAAATGTAAGTAGTCTTTAACAAATTTATTACTGAGACCATCTAATTTTTTAACAAAGATCATCAAGTAGAATAATTAATCCTGATGACGGTAATAGTTTTTGTAACAAAAATCAAACTCCTGTGATGGTATGTAGGTTATTACAAGATAGAGATGGGGAAATGTTTAAAAATGCTTGGTGAATATGTGAGAGTGTTGAAACAATATCTTGGTTTGCTGACAGGCACTAAGCATTTGCTTTAAGTAGGGCATGTTGTTAAAACGGCACAGTTAGTGTTAGTGATGTGGTAGGTTTTGGATGCCTAAATATGAAGTTTTAGTTCACCTTTTTCAAATTTAATTTAATTTCTACATTTGAATTGCATTATACAGTTGTATTATTTCAACTTTAGGAATTCCATATATTTAGATGAATTCTTGAGTGATTATAAGTTATAAGTTTGTTTTGGTATTCATTTAAAACGGTTTTGTTTATCTTATCTTTGCGATACTTTATTTTATTAATTTTTGCCTCAGTTGTTGATCTACACAGTGAGCGGCTTCAATTTTAACAGATAGATAAAAAATGCTCCCTTAGTAGATTTCTCATCCTTATGGAGCAGCTGAAGCCAATTTTATTGTTAGTTCTGTCCGGTGCACTGTAAAGGTTGTGTTTTGTTTACAATTTTTTTCTTGTTATTTAAGTAATTTAACCCTCCAAGTGTCCATAGTTTAGGCCTTAATGTCCACCTATTTTTGGCGCATTTGCAAGGTTTTATTAAAACGGATCTGAGAAGCTTAAAACAATGTTAATTCTAATGTTCTATATACCATTTTGTTTGGAAAATCATGGGCTTCAATATTATATATAAAACATAAGGAACATTTTTTCAAAAAAAAAAATTTTTAGGTAAAAAAAATATAATTTCGAAAATTTTCAAAAAAAAAATAAGTTCGCGCCTAATGAAATTGTATAAATTATAGGCCTATAAATATTTGAAAATAGCCACTTTGTTCTAAATTTTATGAGGATTACAAATATATAATAATATAAGGAAGCATATTTGCAAATAAATAAGTTATGGGCAAAAAACTGATTTCAGTACATAGCGTTTAGCTAAGAATGCATAGCCTAACCATAGCTAGGAATCTGGCTGATAATTTACATCAATATCACTACCTACTTCTTCAGGATCATCAACCAGCACTTCAAAACCACTTAAATCTTCTTATAATTTACCACGTATATCACTACTTTTGATTTTTAACACTAAAACAATGATAAACGTACCTAATAAAACACATCAGTCATCGGTCCGGGGGAACCTAGCTGTTTACAAATACACGCACGTCAGCTGTCTGCTACAATATTTTCAGAACTAAAATGAATAGCGCTTAGAGACAGACATCTGGAGACAGCTTAGAATGTAACGGAAAGAACGATACCTAACTCGATCCAGTTCAATCCGATTCAGTCAGTTATAGAGCCTTCGCCGTAAACGATGTCTGCTTGTCGAAAAATCGGCAAGTAACACTATACAAAGTGTGGTGCTTGCCGAATTTTCGTCAAGTAACACTGGGAGGGTTAAAACCTTTTTTAACCAAATAAAAGGATCTAATCATAAAAAATAACTCGTCCCCTAGTTATATAACCAAACAGTAAAGTACAAATCATGAAATAACTTCACTTGAACTCAACTTCAAACAAATAAAAGACTTCTCTCTTACTAATTGGTCGTAAGTTTATCTGAACACAAACAACCACGACCAAAAGCACAAACCATTAAATTAACCCTTAAATAAAATATCGTCGACACTAGCGATCAGTGTCACTGGACATGAACTAGACACAAAAAAGGAGCTTCAAAATTTACAATGGGATGAGAAGTCTACTTGTGCTTGTTAGTCTCAAGACATGACTCACCTGTGGACCTTGATGTGCTTGAGATAGTGGGGATTAGTGTTCTCCTTGAGGCTGAACTGTCTGCGTAGCCAAGGAACGCTGTCTACTCTGGCTGGAGGAACGCCTCGCGATTTGAGCTCACGATGGCCAACTAGATAAAAATAAATTATAAAAAATGTTATTGTACTTCAAGTTTAAAACCAAGTTGAACCTTCTTGACTTAAATCATTAAAATCATTGAAAATTCAGTCTCATTCCTTGTTAACTTAATTAAGAAAACACACTATAAAAAGTATGAAGACCAGCATATTCTTTAGTTAGGTTTATTATGAGTTCTATAAATAATAAGAACTAGCCTATAAACCATTACTAAATAATTCATATTTTTTATCTACCAGTTTCCATTCCATCTTAACAGTATGCCATTTTTGCAATAAAGGCATATTAGGTGAGGAAAATAACTGTCACCACCACTCAAATATTTTTTAATGGTTCTAATGGATAATTAATATTATAGTAAATTAGAGAAGCTATCAACCAAACTCTAGAAGGGGCCGAAAGTATGAGAACAGAGAAGCGATAGGAAATAAATGTCCTTTTAGTATCAGTCAAGGTTGTGGTAGCAATTTCAGATTTTTATTTAATCTGTGTTCAAATGCACAAACCATAGAGAACAAACTTCCAAGAGACTGGCCTTAACGATGAAAAAAAAGGAAAATACAGAGCTGGAAGACGACTGCTCCTAACTTGTGGAGGTGCCAAGAACTACAACATGGACATCCCACCACTTGTGTTTTTGACACCCAAACTCTCAATGTGTTTCTCTGTATTGATTTTTTTTTTTTAATAGAAAACTGCAAACAAATACTTTCTAGGAATGCAAGTTTAGGTTATTTTTCTTAAATGAATTGAGCTTATTTAGCCATTGTTTCATCAATTTTTTTCTTCAGCTAGAATCTGTTGAACTAATGCAGATTTTTTTTCCTAAACAAAGGCTGAAGCAGATACTACCCAGTGATATAGATTAAGGTGGGAATATTTTCAAAATCAAACTGATTCATACCAATCAAGAAAGTAAATTCTTCTAAGAAAGAAACTCTGTTCAAATGTTTAAAAAAAAGTTAATATTGCACAAATGTTTATTTAACTATGAACATTTTAGTCTAAGGTTTTGCATTATTTACAGGAGAGTGGGCAAAAAAAGTAATCAATCAAAGATTGTATTTCATTGATTTTTGTAATACATGTATCAGCATTAACAGTGTATCACACTTTTGATCCAGAAAATTACAAAAAATAATCAACCAATTTGAAATATTATCGTTGTTTTACTAATTTAAAAACATGAAAAGAATTATTTTATAGGTTTGACCTACTCTTTCAAAACTTATCATTAAAAAAAGTCCTTTGTTGAAATTATATTCAAAAATTGTTGATTCTCCTATATTTGACTTGGGAATAAAACTCCTTGTAAAATTTTTAAATATATTCATTTTGAAATATATGTTAAGGAAACTTTTCAAGACGTTTCCGAAATTTAAATCCACAACATTATACAACTTTAAAACCTCTTATTTAATTGTATAAAATGCTGACACATGTGCAAAAAAAACAATGACATTGTTATCTAATTCATTAGCCATCACTGTGCAAAATACTGATGGCATGCATGATGTGCATGAGATGTAAATCATGCAGTGATGTAGTCTTATGTCATGCAAGCGTGAAAAACTAAACTCTCAAAAGTGCCTATGCATCAGTTTCACCTTCGCTAGGGCTTGTGGCATCTTCCTCTTTATTCTCTGAAATTAAGTGAAAAGATCAACTAAATGTAGGCTACAAGCTAATTTTTAAAATTTAAAACTCGTCTGAATAATCTCTGGTATATTATTAGAATAACTGATATATTATTAGAATAACTGATATACAGGGTGTTCGGTCATAAGTGTTAAATAAAATTTTGCATCAATCTACATGGTAATGGCGACATAATGACGCACATTTGAGGTTCCCAACTTCAACCGTTAGAGAATAAAAATTAAATTACGATTTTTCAAAAATTATTGTAGTTGTTATGAAAAAGGTTATATTACTCTGTTGAAAATGCATCAATTGTTAATTTAAATGTCATTTTTAGAATCCTCACAAAATTTTAAATAGATATAGCACATAATCGTTTGGGTATGAAAACATATTCTATTTAAATTTCTTCGTTAAACAAATTATTTTTAATATTAACGAAAATTTAAATAATATTAATCAATCTATTTCTCGGTTACCGAGATCTGCTGAGTTTATCAAATATTACTAAAAACTTCCTTACTTAAAGGGCTTTACAATGGTGTATAATAGTGTTTACCTACTTTAAAATTTCCTAATGTAATTCAATCTTTATTGTGAAAAAAACAAGGTAGGGCAAAGAAAAGCTATTGTGAATAATAATACATTTAAGTGCAGGCAACAAATAATTTGTATTTTTTTTCTCGCATGCAAAGCTTTGTTTATAACTATCAAGCTAAAAAAAGAAACATATAGTAGTAAAATGTGTTTGTGATAAAGTTACGGTTATCGTATATTTTTCATATTTCAGATAAGATTTCAATTAACTCCTGGAATTTCTATTTTGTTGAATGGAATTAGTCAATAGATTCAGGTATTTTACTGATTTACAATACTTTACCTAAGCGATAAGAAAACAAAACGTAGTCATATGTAAAAAAATCTATCAGTCACATGTTGACAGTGATCGGTCAACTATGTCTTTTTCGATTCAGGAGTATGTTGAAATGCATTTTATTTATGGTTTGTGTAACGGTAATGCGTCGGCTGCTCAGAAGGAGTACCAGAATCGGTATCCTGATCGCACCACCCCCAGTACTAAGGTGTTTACTAGAGTTTACTTAACTGTTGTAAACTGTGAAGTTGAGTTACAGGAGAGAATATTTAAGGCTGCTAGGGATGTAAGGGAAAAATTGACGTATGGGGTCACAGTTTGCGCAATTCGCAAGCGAGCTAGGGCCTGCTTGCGGGAAAACGGAGGGCACTTTACACCCAAACTGTGATTCCACCTTAAAAGTTGTGCTTCGGACAAAGTATGTCATTGATTTGTTTAATGTGTTAACTATCCTTTCGTATTAAAATTCAAGTGTGTATTGTGTTTTTTACTAATGTATTGTACTTTTTGTTTATAACAAATTTTCCAAAGTCTTAAAAAAAACTCTTAAGTTTGATGGAAGTGTAGTCTGGTCAATCATAAACTACACAAACCCTCGTCATCAGTGGTCAGCTCATAAAATATAGTAAGTAAAATTCATTTTTTTTACAATATCTGTTTTGGCTTAACCGTGATTTTCACAATAGTGCGTTAAATTCACCATGGATTTGACTGTAGGTAAATGTTGTTATACATCATTGTAAAGCCCTTTAAATAAGAAAGTTTTTAGTAATATTTGATAACCTCACCGGAACTCGGCAACCGATAAATAAAGCTCTGAATGTTATTTGCATTTTCATCGTTATAAAAATAATTTGTTTAACGAAGAAATTTAAATAGAATATTTTTCCGTACCCCAACGATTATGTGTTATATCTATTTAAAATTTTGTGAGGATTCTGAAAATTACATTGAAATTGACAGTAAGTGCATTTTTAACAGAGAAATCTAACCTTTTTCATAACAACTACAATAGTTTTTGAAAAATCTTAATTTATTTGTTATTCTCTAACTGTTGAAGTTGGGAACCTCAAATGTGCGACATTCTGTCACCATTACCATGTAGATTGCTGCAAAATTTTATTTAACACTTATGACCGGACACCCTGTATTATTAGAATAACTGATATATTATTAGAATAACTGATATATTATTAGAATAACAGGTATATTATTAGAATACCTGATATATTATTAGAATAAAAGGACGCTATATTAGTTGCTTCACAGATTTATTACCAAATAATTCCAGCACATTCAGTAACTTTGAACAGAATAAAGCACGCTATATTAGTAGCTTTACAGATTTATTACCAAATAATTCCAGCACATTCAGTAACTTTGAGCAAATATCTTAACATTTGGACTGTGCAAAATGTAAGAATTGGCTTATAATCTGATCAAACAGATCTTTGGGAGGGACAGTTTTTCGTGAGTTTAGATTTGGACAATACTTTTATAAAGCTTCTATAACCTGATAGTCAATTTTTTATATTTTTTATTGACTGTTGAACATACAGTTTGTATACACAACATTCAAGCACAACGACATTTCAAATGTTTTGCTGCCAAAATACTAAAAGTTTCCAGGCTGGACAGGTGCCGATGACGTACGTTCTGATAAATCTGTAGAAATTGGTTGTGTGCTTTGTGTGTGTGTGTTTTTTTTTTATATTTATGACATTCAAAATTTTTAAAAGTCAGACAGTATGTGACACAAGTTGTTTTAAACCGAAGTAAACTAAGGCCTCACTATATTCATCAGAAAGTTATTGACTATATAGGCTAGTTTAATAATTTATAAGGATTGAAGACGGTTACAGGTAACATAACCTATTTATTTCTAATGAATTAAGTCTTTGAATCTGCTCAAGGGAGAAAAATCAAGAAAACAAGAAATTTGTTGCATCAAAGTTTGAATTTAATGATTTAGATAATTTTATTTATGAAGATATAAATTAACACACTTTAGATTAAAGGCTATAACTATAGGCATTTTGGTTATAATTATCATCACTTAGATTAATACAACTTCTATGTATAACTTCTAATTTTGTTTAAATGACATCTTACCGATCACTGTGACTTCTCGAGCCTCTGGCACCAGGGGTTGTGTTACTGAGTCGTTCAGTGGTGATGTGATTTCTGTTTTCTTCGCATGAGGTTTCACCTTTACTGACATAGTGACTGGGACTGGCACTCGAGTACTGATCACTTCACCCATACCCTACGACAATAAATATCAGATAGTTTTATTATTTTTACATAGTTAACACAGGGTATGGTGATTCAGAAACCCAAAAATGAATGAAGGATGAGTGTAGAATGGAGCGAGATGCCTTGTAGAGTTGTTACTAACCACAGATAAGTAAGAAACAGAGGATACATTTAATTGTACACTTAAGTAGTGTTTAGCACCAGTCGCTGGTGTCTAGAGCAGATTCTATTTGTCGTCCCCTCCTGCTCTCCTTCCCCCCCCCCCCCTCGCCATCACATACCGGTAAGTTACTACAGCGCTCTCATAGTAGGAAGAGTGTGCTACAACTGCTGTACAATAATACTACATGGAATAATACTATGCTATGAACAAAACTATTGTTTTCATTTCCTTTTTTTTCTGCTGTTTTACTTTTTAATTCTTTACTAATTTTTAAAGTTGAAATTTAAATCAACAATTTAACTAACCAATAAAAAGCACTAAGTTAGAGAAATAAGTAACTTTTAGTACACAGCACCTTCACAAGGCAAACAGTTGACACATCTTACATGATGATAAACATAAGTTTAATAGCTCAATTATACCTCATAAGAATTGTACTGCTTAGTGAGCGTGAAATCGAGCTTAGGAAGACAACCAAAAGAATTTCTGCAATGATATGGCATTGATCACTCACCGCCTTGTTAAGATGGCCGTGGTCGCTGATACTGCGACATAACAACAGACTAGGGTAGTTCTCCACGATGAGATTGTAAAGGCGCTGGTTAGCCTTCAACGACTCCAACACTTCTAGGGGTACCTGAATAAAAAAAAGGCTATTGTGAACAGTTGTGCTGCAAGGGCATACTGCCCAACCGATGGAAAAATATTATAAATACTATCTACAACCAATGGTACTTAAAGTTTATAAACAATTAAATTATTTTTCAAAAGCATTTCTTCCAAAACTTTTTAGAATATCAACACAATATAAAATCCTATGAGCAACGTTTCCACAATAAGAAATACACCTATTTACTCTTCCTCTAAATGTATAATTAAATAGTTTTCAAGCTAATATAATATGTCCAATGTGCACACTGTGTCTTATAATAGTTGAAAACGAACCATTAAGCTACACATAGTTGTGACAAAAGACAGGGAATAAATTAATAACCATTACTAAAACTGATTAATTGGTTACACTAATTTAAATATATAATCAATTTGTAATCGAGATTACTTTTATGATTGCCTTGAATGCCAATCTAAGTGGAGATGAAATTGCTAAGACTGTAGCTGTTGCTGTTACCATGAATGGTGTAATAAATGTCATATTAGCTTTACTTGGCAATTAGCAAGAAAATGTTACTTATAGCCCAGTCAACAAAGCTCAAAATATGACCCTCAGCAGGAAAAACTGGTGTAGTCCCGGATTTTTGCAGTTGTAGGGGATACCCTCCAGAACAACATACTAAAAGTCCTGACCGATGGGGTGTGAGCTATGGGGGGAAGGGTGGTGTAGATGCACAATCTTTCGGTTTTCTGTAAATATCTCAAAAACGGTGCCCTCTAGCGGTAAAATGTACGTATACAAAAATGAAGAGGATTAAATTTCCAACTATAATGACCATTACATTGTGTTCCTAAAATCAACACTTAACGAGATACATGGGTCATAAGGAAAAAAAACATTCAGAGAAACTAGTATTATTTTCTTAAAGTGATTGTTTCATACTACATCAAGTTGTATAAACTGATAAAAATGTGCTAAATACTCGTCTATGCAGTACAGCTGTTGAAAAAATTGAGGGAAGAGGAAGTCGGGCCGCACTGGAAGCTGAGAGACCAAACAGTGGTAACCATATATACACTATTATTAAATCAATCCTACTAATATTATAAATGAGAAAGTTTGGATGTATGGATGTATGGATGTATGGATGTATGTTTGTGACAAGTGAACGCGAAAAATACTGGTCGGATTGGGCTGAAATTTGGCATGATGATAGCTCACATTCCCGATTAACATATAGGCATATTCTTATTTCAAAAATCCTTTCGGGCTCCGCCCCAGTGGCTCTGGAGTTTCCCATGTTAAACTTATGAGAAATGGAATTATTGAATCTTAACAGCTGTTTCAATTAAACAAGTTGGTTCTGTTCTATGATGTTCAATAGCATTAAAGTTACAAGGATTACCAACAGGGTGCAGCACTATTATTTCTTTTACATTTATGACAACAGCTAATTTGCAACCAAAAGATGAGTGAGCGTAGCGAACGAACTTCAACCTGGAGGCGAGTTAGCGTAGCGAACGAGCTCCAACCTAAAGGTGAGTGAGCGTAGCGAACGAGCTCCAACCTAAAGGTGAGTGAGCGTAGCGAACAAACTTCAACCAGGATGTGATTGAGCCATGCGAACGAATTAATCTTGAAAATTAAGAAGTTAAACGGGGCAAAGCCCGCGGGTTACAGCTAGTAAGATTATAAGTTTGTTAGTTTAACCAAAAAATAAACAATAAATCAACAGCATTTTGATGGTTGTTTGTGAAATCTAAGTTGTTTACTAAAAAATGTAAACATTAACCTATCAGCTGTTCATATATTATTATTATTGTACAGTACAAGAGGGATCCCAAAAGACAGGTGTATTAACATTTTCTGCAAGTTTATTTTAGTTTTAATATTACAGTATGTTATTGTGGTTACCACTGTTTGGTCTCTCAGCTTCCAGTCCGGCCCGACTTCTTCTCCCCTCAATTGTTTCAACAGCTGTACTGCATAGACGAGTATTTAGCACATTTTTATCAGTTTATACAACTTGATGTAGTATGAAACAATCACTTTACCACAATAATACTAGTTACTCTGAATATTTTTTTTCTTATGACCCATGTATCTCGTTAAGTGTTGATTTTAGGAACACGATGTAATGGACATTATGGTTGGAAATTTAATGCTCTTCATTTTTGTATAAGTACATTTTACCGCTAGAGGGCACCGTTTTCGAGATATTTACAGAAAACGAAAAAATTGTGTACTGTATTTACATCCTCCTCCCCCCCATAGCTCACACCCCATCAGTCAGGACTTTTAGTATGTTGTTCTGGAGGGTATCCCCTACAACTGTGCAAAAATCCGGGACTGCACCATTTTTTCCCACTCATTCAGCTTCGTTGACTGGACTATTAGTGAGGTAAATGTTACCATGAAGCTGTTGCTGTTACCATGAATGGTGTAATTAATGTCATATTAGCTTGGCAGCAAGAAAATGTTACTAGTATTTAGTGAGGTAAATGTTATATAATAAAGATGTGATAAATGTGCCACAATCAAATCTGTTTTATGTGATATAACATTTTATACACAATATCAAAAAAAAATTTTAAAATCACCTTCTCATTTTGGCGAATGAAGGTTGGTAGGTTGACCACAGAGTGGAAATTATGAATGTTACCATCAGCGGGCGCTTCTTCTCCCTCTTTCTTCATTGACGTTGCCAAAGCAGTCAGTAAATACTCTGGAGTTTCTCCAGACTTCATCATTTTCCGAATTTCTTCCACTCCAGGAAATTCACTGGCAGCTGATCTTCCAGAGATGGATCCACAGGAGGAAGTATTTTTAGACTGTTTTGACAAAGTACCGCCCTTGTTTTGCTCCTCTGTCCACCACTCAGGGTCTCTCATGACAGCGCCGCAGACACACATGTTGAAGAATGTTCCAGCCAGGAGGAGAACAGTCCCTCTCCAACCGAACTCGTTGATGAAAAACTGAGTCATTGGAGCATACACGAAAGTTCCAATACCTGTACCACAGGCCCCCAAGCTGGTGGCTAGGGTACGCTTCTTGTCAAACCAGTAAGCTATACTGACAACGGCGGTGACATAACACAAGCCCAGCCCAATACCAGCTATAACTCCAAAAGTTAGGTACATGAGATATATGGTGTCACAGAATGTGCTTAAGATAAATCCCAACCCTGAGATCAACCCTCCGAGTATTGTCATCCATCGACATCCGTACCGATCCACAAGGGCAGAACATATTGGCCCAGACATCAGTGGAACAGCCATGAATAGACTTCCAATCCAAGAGGTCGCACTTTTACTAGCTTCAAACTCTTTCAAAAACTCTAGGAAGAGCAGCCCAAATGAAAAACTAATTCCGTCGGCAATCATACTGATAACTAAAGAGGCCATGACTACAACCCATCCCCACCCTCCATCTGGGATCTTTGGTTTATCTTCCTCACTGTCTTCATCCATGTAGGAATCACTACTGATGATAGAGTCGGCTATCTCTGGCTCCTTGAATTTCACTTCGTACCCTGGGTTTTCAATTATTGTCGTCGCATTCTCTGGAGATTCATTATTGTTACAAGATATTGCTGACGGAGTGGAGGCAAAGAGGTTCGGTTCTTCTCCACTCGAGGCCACTGTGGGAGTTCCTGCAGGAGAATCTGGTCCGATCCCACTACTTCCGGACTTTGTGGGAGATTGTCTGGAGGAGGGTGACGCTGAAGTAGGAGTGGGGTTGCTCCATCGCACAATGGGAGCCAACCCGTTCACTCTATTCTCCTTGTCCAGTAACGGTTCCATCGCACTAAACCTAATCACACTGAAAATTTGAAAATAAGTTCAAATTCGCTAACTAAATTACGATAATAATACAGTCTGTGTCCATCTTCGCGGCCAACCTTGCAGATCTAACGGAAACTGGTGATGATACCTATTGAGATGCTCGAGCCGCCGGGTTTGCGGCTGTGCGGAAAACTCGAAAATGAAACTCCTAGAGACACTAAGACCGAACAAATTTTTCATAAGGACCGGCTACTTTGGGCTTCCTTGGTGAAATTCAACCGTCACTCTCCTTTTCCTAGCAGACTTTTGTTCCTTGGAGACTAGAAGCACTGCATTCTTACTGAGGTTATCTAGGATGTCTCTAGCTGATGTAGAGGTGGTTCACGGTTCAAGACTGCTCCAAGTCACACCAATTGGTTGATCTGAAAAATATATAAAAATAACCTTATCGTTCTGCTCAAATTAACATAGAAAAATGAGGATTTTGTAAAATGTTTACACCACTGGCTGAAATCTGAATAAGTCTTATTGATTGTATCATTTTTGATTTTCAAAAGAATGTTAAGGCAAATTATTACGTAAAAGTATTATGTTATTAAGGTAAATCTTCATCGTACTTGTATTTGAAAAGTTTAACAAAATTGTCGGACATCAAGACAAAATATTAATGCAAGAATGACCAAAGTTTCCCTTATGCAAATGTAAAAATTGAATACAAACTAACATACTGAGGGCAGCACTTAAAAATAATAACTTATTAATTATCTACTAAATTATTTGGATGAATGTAGTTTCTGAAATATAAGTACGGTAGCATTTATTTTGAATTGACAACTACTAAAACACTTACACTGAGCACTGTCATACAGCAAATTAAATGCCAATTGGCAATACTTTGTTCTTTGTTCATTGTAATTTATCTTTGCTCAATCACTCACTTGATTTATGGGCTGCTGTGTTCATTCCTTTTTCTTGGGTTGTTCTACATTGCACATCAGTGTTACTTTGCAAAGCTAGTATTATATTATATGAGAGAAGTATCATAACAATCTTAATTTTGTATAAAAATACAGTACCATATAAATATGGTTATTTTTTCCATTAATCCTATACTCTAATAAAAGCAAGGTATGTTTATCTGTCTACCTATCTCCAAATCCAGCAGAAGGATTTTGACTAAATTTTTTAATTAGGGACTTATAGCCAAAAAAACACGATTGATAACAAACAGCCACTCACTGCTTCAGGAAAATTCATATTTCGATACACAACTCATTTGAACTTTTAAATTGGCCATAGGGCCCATAGGGGTTGCTATGCAACTATGTTGGTCGAACGACATAACAAGGAAAAAGTAAACCAAAGACTTGTCACATGTGTTTATAACAAGCCATCCACAGTATACCAGCAAAAAAAAAAATTGTAACTATTGAGCAAAGATTACACTGAAGATTACTCATTATAGGGGAAAATAGAGCAAGTAGTGTTGAATGGTGTTGATGAGTGATGGTGTTTCGTGTTGGTGCAGTTTGAGTGCCAATGTTTCACTCTTATTTAAAGGGTAGATTTTACAATTTGTATGCACTCTTATATGTTATAAGTTTCTTATATGTTTCCTAATTTGTACAGCTGTAATTGAAAGGTAAGATCCCTCCCACTGAGAATATTCCCGACACAAGAACATAATAAAAGCCAAAAATTAGTTGTAAAAAAGTGAGTTTCATTTTTATTGCTTTACTCTCGTAATAAATTATACTGAGCTATGGCTCGATACCCCGGTACTTTACACGTAATTTCCTCGAATAAAATATAAACCAGCTTTGTTGACTGCCTGGGTAAACTGGCTAGTGCTCGCTATCAAATCTGAAAGGCCGGTATCCACAGTGCGAGGCTGCTCGCTGCGAATGCCTCGTGTCATCTGCCTCAGGGTGAGCTCTTTAGCTGGCAGTTAGTTTGTAACCACGAATGCTCACTGCGAGCACGCGAACCACCCGCTTTGCTTTCCATAAACTTTACTATATAAATCTCTGATGTCATGTCTATCCATGATGACACATAGCTCAGAGCGAGGCACCTTTCATTGAGCACTGCTCTGAGACCGACAAGTACACGGCTCGCCTCACATTGTGCGACGCGAGTGCCTCACAGCGAGCAACCCCGGTATACACAGTCCGAGGCAAAGCCGAGCATTCGCAACGAGGCATTCGCAGCGAGCTGCCTCGCACTGTGGATACCGGCCTGAAGGCGCTTATTGGACTCAAGCAAGATCGATTCTGGTCCCATATCCCCACCTGAAGGCGCTTATTGCACTCAAGCAAGATCGGTTCTGGTCCCATATTCCATCTGTAGGCACTTATTGGACTCAAGCAAGATCGATTCTGGTCCTATATTCCATTTTGTAATTGGGCTATCAATTAAAAACGCTATCTAAAAAAAGGTCGGCCTTGGTAACAAGTATAAAAAGATAAAATTGGCAATGGGTGTAAAAAAAACAAGTAAATATAAATTAAATTATTGATGTTTATGTTTTTACAAAACAAAGCTTGTTGCCAAGAGACGCTGCGCTGCATCTAGGGCAGTCTACGTCACCTTGACCTCAACTTACATAAAACTCTGCCGGGGTCAGTGCCTCAGTGCCATTGCTACAACGGCTTCCCTCTGTTGAAGCCATAGGCACAATCTTAAACCAGTTCAAACCAGTTATGTATCTGACTGATAAAATCCCATTATCAGTTAGCTTGCAGTACACTTTCATCTTATCAGTAAAACGCAAATGTGCTCGGTGGTGTTTTGCAATGGCCATGACTCATTGTTGTTATTATAAAAAGTTTTGTTCATTTTCCTTCAACATTTTAAGTTAAAAGTTAAAAATTTTGAGCTAAAACAGAATTTGGAGGTTTTACATCTGTAATGATTGTTAGCGAATTTCCCATTTAGGGAATAAGCTATTACCAAAGGTATCATGGCCCAGGACGGATTTTATTTTTCATCTTCACGTTTCCAGGTGGAAAAAAGGCCACCCGTTCAAATTCATATAGATAACGCATGGGCTATCAATCTTTTCTTGGCTTTTTTGTCGCCTTCGTTCTTTAGCTGAATAAGTGCAAAATTTTGACATTTCTTCAGGGGGTCTGAATCATTGTGCGCATAATATTCATATTATATTTTAAATATTGTATTGTATGATATATATACTATTTGCTCTATGGTCTGAATATGCCACATAAAGTGGCAAAATGTACATAAAATTAAAACAAACATCTCTTAGGTAAAAACGAAGGAAACAAAAAAGGTAACAAATATAATAGCAATAACTCTGCATATCGAGCCTCCGTGTCGTGCTGTGTACGCTTGGCCTCATGTTAGAACGTCACGCGCCGCATAAACATCACGTGGTACACGCATAACACACACATGCACGCATACTATACGTCATTGATGTGCTGCGCTGAATAAGCACACGCACAACACACACACACCTTCTGTCATTGTGTATACGGCGCTGTCTAAGCTGATGACAAGGCATACTCCAGTGAGCTAAATAAAACCACTCACAACTTCTAGTTTGCAACGTAAGCCCATCACAAGTTATGCTACTCTGGCAAGATTAACATACGCCTTCTCAAACCCTACGTCAGTTGTGTAGTAAAATATAGATAGGCTACTCGCAAATCTACACAGATGAGCCCAGCGACCACAGAATGAAAATCAGTGGATGAGCCCGATTTCCGGAAAAATTGAGAGTAGGAGCTATTCTTAATTAGTGTAAGGCCACGCAATGTCTTTATTGTGGATCTCTTTTCTTTACTTATTGAGAGTTAAAAGATTAAAAATTGCACTTTGTTTTGCTTTACAGCCATGGACTAAACACATAAAACTCCGATAGAACAAGACCTTGCAGTTTACAGATTTACAGTATTAATTAACAACCACGATTGGCGTAAATATTTGTACTGTGAAATCCAAATCGCAAACTAATTTATGTTCAGCAATTCATGCAAAATAAGTTATGTAACATAGTTTAACCTACTCAGGTTGCGGGCTTTTCCATAATCGATTAGCAAGGCAACGGTAAAACCATTGATTGAGCATTTAACTGAACTTATTCCACATCTGTTTTGTTAGTTAGTTTATAGGGCTAATTTAGAGTCAAGAGATACTTTATTGTATAAGACCTTGAAAAGTACTTAAGTAAGGAGGTGGCGGGACGCGGAGATGGCGGGAGCACACGCCTATTTCAAGCAAAACATTTCCTGTCTGTGTCATAATTAGTAATCATTATTATCTGTCATTATTTCTTAATTAGATAAAAATTTAAAGATCAAAAGAAACTAAACTGCTTTTTTGCTTCGAACTAGTTGTTAGCCCGTCCTACATACGGGAATCAAGTAGTCTATTAAAACTACAATACGAAACAATATTTTCTTTGATAAAATTCAGATCAGCTACAGTTTACACGTATAAAGTAAAATACTGGCAGTTTTAGAGGTTGAACATTATCATTTATCAGCATCATTATTAAAGTTTAGTCTCTGTGGTTCAGCGTTCAACATTTTAACACTCCCGCAGTTAACGATCAATGAACCCACCCCGTCCCTCGCACACATAGCCAGAGCCTAGACATTGATCTATAAGGAAGGTCAGTTCATTTTAAGTTCACCACCACGACCTGACCTTCAACGTTCAAAAATGGCAGACTATACAAATTATTAAGAACATGTGTTGTTATGAACTTTTAAAAACTTTGAACCAATTATGATATACTAGCTTTTGTACCCGTGCTTTGCAACGGGAAGAGGACCCGAAATAGAAACATTTTTATCTTAAAATCTGTTGTATAAAATATACACATCCGCCAACGCTTTTACAAACAAAATTCAACCCTAATGGCCTTTGTGCTCAATGTGGAAAGGGACCAGGTTTCTGCACTGTACATAACAACAGACCTAATTAGAGTTTTGAATACCTTCATCTTTGTCTTGGGGGTCATCAGATTGGATTTGAGGTTAGCGTAATATGCTCTGTTACCAGCCATGATTCAGTTTGTGATTTTTTGTGCAACAGTGTTTTTGCTATTCAGCTCTGCCCCAAAGTAAACAAACCCATCCACATTCTTAACACATTTGTTTTATATCTTTAGTACATATTATTTAATTTACAAATGAAATTGAGCGTTTAAGATGGCAGACAAAACTAATTATTATCAAAACATCAGAGGACAAAAAAATTAATAGTAATAGGCATTAGGTATATGTTTTATTGCATCTATTATTTTTCTCTAAAAAAAATTCAACCATCAACATAATATAGAAGCCAGTTCTTTTATTTAGTTCCATAGTCTACTGCCTTTACATTTTCACACTTACCATTAAGTAAACATAATAACAAATATTTCATTGATTTTAGAAACAAAAGAACACCG